TTTGTCAATTTTGTTTTTTGAGAGGTGGTTTACTTGTTATTTGATATTAGGCTTATGTCTTCTTTTGATTTTAAGACCGCTTGAGATGCTTTATTTTTTATTGTGCAGGAAAAAGTGGAATAGATAATGGGAGGGTTAATATATTTTGTTTTCGAATGATTAAAGTGGAATAGGAGGGTTAAGGTTTATCTTTAGAGAGTACATTTTTTCAGGAGGTCTAGAACATAGTATAAAAGGGGTGGATGTCCCATTGTAAAGAGGACGATTTTTAGAGAATGAAAACTTGAGTTGATGTTAGAGAGAGAGAGCCTTTTCATGGTTGTTTTTCCTTCTCTTGTTCTTGTGCAGCGTGGTAGAGGTCTCAGTTTCCAACGTTTGTGCCTCCTTCTTGCTGTATTTTTTTTTTTTTTTTTCTCTCTCTCTCTTAAACAAAAACCTCCAATCTCTCGCTTTTTTGCTGCCCCCTCTCTCTCATCTCTGGTTCAAACCTGCACGTTTGTGCCCTTCCTCTCTCTCTCTCTCTTTCGAGTTTGTGCCCCCTGCCGTCTCTCTCTCTTGTTTGTGCCCTACCCCCTCTCTTTCTCTTTGTTTCCTCTGCAGCCTGGTCTCCCACTCTCTCTCAATATAGAAGACGAAGCAAGACGAGGAGAAAAAGACACAAACTCTCTCTCTCTCTAGAAAATATTTTGCATTCTCTCTCTAGGAAAATCTTCTCTCTGATCACAGGAACCAGAGGTACAAACCGTCTCTCTCTCTAGAAAAATATTTTGCATCCTCTGTCTCTCTAGGAAAATCTTCTCTCTGATCACAGGAACCAGAGGTAAATTTTGGTTCACGCAATGGAAACCCTTTGTGGCGACAGGAACCAGAGGTAAGCTAGGAGAGATGGGTTAATGTTCAAACAGCAATGGCTGCTATTATTTTCACTGAAAAGAGTGCAGGCACAAGGATCTTTGTGGCCTTTCTTTAGCTTTTTCATGGAACTGTGATTTCCACTTTTTCCATTGGTGGATTTCTTTTTAAGCTTCGAAGAGTTCTCTTCCTGTAACAAACCCGTGAAATTGTTTTTAAGGTAACAATCGAATATTGTTGATTTTGTGCACTTTATGCACAAAGAACAAATAATATTTGAATGGCATAGATATGCTCAATTCATCTTATAGACCAACCATTTCAGCATGGGTAAATGCTCTAATGCACAGCATGTTTCAAGGGCTAGTGTTATGAAAAGTTTGAGTAGATTGTTATTCTGTTCAACGGCAAAGAAACACTTACTTCACATGAAGTCCCTTTTATTAAAATATATCTGATTTATATTAACGTGCACCTGCTAATGTTTTCCACATGGTCTTGTGGTGGTGCTGCTGTTGTTCCATGATACATGCTTCTTCCTGCTGTGAGCTTCATCTAGATCTAATATGCATTTGACAAACTTTACTGGTGGCTCCTTATGAATGTCCAGCACTTAGCAAGAGCTATCTTTTTCTTGAAGGTATGGGAAAACCCTTAAGCTTGAGGAGTTTGTAAGCATTCATGCCTATTAATTATCATTTAAAAAGAAAAGTACTAATATTGCTGATTATGCAGTATTCATACTTTAATGTCCATTTGATTTGTGTGGCTATTAGTTGAATTTGCCTTATTTTATTTGCATCGAGTTGACACTTAATTCTATGCACATGCAGTGCGCAACAGACTTTTAATTCCAGCTGATGTGTGCATTCAAATGCAGTGCGCAACAGACTTTTAATTCCAGCTGATGTGTGCATTCCAATGTTAGAAATAGTTCTATGGCCTTATTTGGTTAAGCCTAGATCAATATCATGTATTGTAGTGAAATATCACTATAACTTTGTGTTTATTGTAGGGTCTTTCAATTATGTAAGTTGGATCTCACCATTTCAATTCTAGCCCTTGCTAAGTGCTGCACATTCATAAGGAGCCACCAGTAAAGTTTGTCAAATGCATATTAGATCTAGACGAAGCTCACAGCAGGAAGAAGCATGTATCATGGAACAACAGCAGCACCACCACAAGACCATGTGGAAAACATTAGCAGGTGCACATTAATATAAATCAGATATATTTTAATAAAAGGGACTTCATGTGAAGTAAGTGTTTCTTTGCAGTTGAACAGAATAACAATCTACTCAAACTTTTCATAAGACTAGCCCTTAAAACATGCTGCGAATTAGCGCATTTACCCATGCAGAAATGGTTATTATTTGTTCTTTGTGCATAAAGTGCACAAAATCAACAATATTCAATTGTTCCCTTAAAAACCATTTCACGGGTTTGTTACAGGAAGAGAACTCTTCGAAGCTTAAAAGAAATCCACCAATGGAAAAAGTAGAAATCACAGTTCCATGAAAAAGCTAAAGAAAGGCCACAAAGATCCTTGTGCCTGCACTCTTTTCAGTGAAAATAATAGCAACCATTGCTGTTTGAACATTAACCCATCTCTCCTAGCTTACCTCTGATTCCTGTAGCCACAAAGGGTTTCCATTGCGTGAACCAAAATTTACCTCTTGTTCCTGTGATCAGAGAGAAGATTTTCCTACAGAGATGGAGGATGCAAAATATTTTCTAGAGAGAGAGAGAGATTGTACTTTTTCTCCTCTTCTTGCTTCGTCTTCTATGTTGAGAGAGAGTGAGAGACCAGGCTGCAGAGGGCACAAAGAGAAAGAGAGGGGGTAGGGCACAAACAAGAGATAGAGAGAGAGAACAGGGGGCACAAACTCGAAAGAGAGAGAGATAGAGAGGCAGGACACAAAGGCGCAGGCCTGAACCAGAGATGAGAGAGAGGGGGCAGCAGAAGAGAGAGAGAGGCACGCTGCCCCATGACGCTAGAGAGATATAGCAGTGTGGTCCGTCAGGCTATTTGCATAGATTGAGTATGAAATCAAGGCAATAGGAACTACAACCGTTAAAAGTCCACGAGCTGATCCCACCGTTCGCTCACCCCATTGGCCCAACAGTATCATTTTCTATATATATATATATATATATATATATATATATATATATACTATA